TACTTTGAATATAGCTTTTGGATTCTCAAAATTCCTATACTCTTGACTAGTGAAATTTGGTTCTTAATTGAAAATAAAATTTAAACTTGTTTACGAAAGTTTAGTTTTGTAATAAAAACTGATTTATCTACAACTGCTGTAGCAAGCAGTTATAAAGTGTAAATTCTTACAAGTGGTGAAATTTAATGTTTTTAATTAGTTTATTTGCCTTGCCATAACATATTTTTTAATAAGTAAAGCTTAGCTGTACGTGGTGTTTAGGCTGTGCTCTGAAGGAGGGAGTACTGAAGACGTTATGAACAGGTGAATGGTGTGGCTTCTACTCAGGGCTGTATTTGACAGGTTGCTTTATAATAAACCTCTTGAATATCACAATTTGGGTGATGAACTTAAGTATCCTTTCAAACTATTTATATGAGAAAGTCACTTTATTAATCTAAGAAATCTCTATGGATTTTAAAAAATTTATTTGATTAAGGCTTTATTTATGTTAGAAAATTCTTTAGATCCTTTTAAATTCTTACAAGAAAAGGACAGTGCCAAAGGGGTAAACCTTAACACTTGACCTAAACTTAGATTTTCTTAAGGCAGGAGAATATTAGATGTACTGATTCCTACAAATCTATTAAAAAACAAAAAAACAAACAAACAAAAAATCCAAACATGATCTAAGAACTTGCTCTACGTATACTAGCTACTTCTAACATTTTAAATTAACTTTGCCTGTAAAATAAATTGCAGCCTTAAAATGTAGATTAAATTAGAAAACAAATTGTACTAGATGGTTAGTTTGTTTCGTTACTCTACATGTGAATCTCTTCACTCTTTGAAGAAATGATAAATTTCAGCTATTGTGATGGTATGAAGTTACTTGTATAGTTTGTTTGTGAACTAATGCTTGTTTCAGTATTTTTATCTTAATAAAACCCACTAAATATGTACATATGTATTATGTAAATGTTGTCTTTCAATACTTTAATGTTTATTTTTGCCCATTTACTTTAATACTTTAATGTTTATTTTTACCCATTGTTTAAAATATAAAAGTTAAAAATTTTAACTAACAATCCCAATTCCATCTGTACTCTTGAATGACTACTGAAGAAATAAAGTCTGAAATCAAAAGATTCATGGAAATCAATGACAATGAGGACATGGGTTTCCATAATCTTTGGGACACTGCTAAAGCAGTCATAAGAGGAAAGTTCATAGCAATTAGCCTACATAAGAGAAAGATGGAAAGAAGGCAAATGGATCACCTAACATTGTGCCTCAGAGAACTGGAAAAACAACAGCAAAAAAACCCAAAAACCTCTAGGAGGAAGGAAATAATAAAGATCTGAGCAGAAATAAATGAAATAGAAAATAAACTATACAGAAAATAAATGAAAGTAAAAGCTGGTTCTTTGAAAAGATAAAATTTATACACCACTAGTGAGACTTATTAAGAAGAAGAGAGAAAGGAACCAGGTGAATCAAATCTGTAATGAAGCAGGCAATATAACAACAGACATAGTAGAAATACAAAACATCATTAGAGGATACTATGAACAACTATATGCCAAGAAACAAGGCAATCTGAGTGAGATGGACAAATTCCTGGACACATATAATCTACCAAGATTGAGCCAGGAGGATATAGAAAGTCTGAATAGGCCCATAACAAGCCAGGAGATTGAATCAGTAGTAAATAATCTCCCAACAAAGAAAAGCCCTGACCCTGATGGCTTCATCTCTGAATTCTACAAAACATTCAAAGAAGAGTTAATCCCCATTCTGCTCAAGTTATTTCTAAAGATCCAAAAGTGTGAATCTCTCCCTAATTCATTCTATGAAGCCTCTATCACCCTTATCCTTAAAACAGATAAGGACAGGACTAGGAAGGAAAACTATAGACCAATATCTCTGATGAGTATAGATGCAAAGATTCTCAACAAGAGACTAGTAAATCATATCCAACAACTTATAAAAAAGATTATACATCATTATCAGGTAGGCTTTATTCCAGGAATGTAAGGTTGGTCCAACATACACGAAACCATAAATGTAGTCACCATATTAACAGGAAAAAAAGATAAAAACCATATGATCATATCAATCGATGCAGATAAAGCGCTTTTCCACTAAAAATGGGTACAAGACAAGGATGCCCACTTTCCCCACTCCTTTTCAATATAGTACTGGAAGTTCTCAGCAATGCAGTCAGAAAAGAGGAAAAAAATAAAAAGTATTCAAATAGGAAAAGATGAGATGAAACTCTCTTTATTTGCAGGTGACAAGATAGTATATTTAGAAGGCCCAATGATTTCTATAAAAAAATTCCTGGAAGTAATACATGAATACAGTAAAGTTGCAGGATACAAAATCAGCATAAAGAAATCTATAGCATTTCTCTATATGAAAAGCAGGCAGACTGAGATAGAACTGAAAAAAGTTATTCCATTTACCATAGCCAAAAAAAGTATAAGATATTTAGGAATAAGTCTAAACAAAGAAGTTAAAGACCTCTACAAGGAAAACTATGAGAAGCTAAAAAAAGAAATTGAAAATGACACAAAAAACTGGAAGGATATCCCATGTTCCTGGATTGGAAGAATTAATATAATCAAAATGGCAATTCTACACAAATTAATCTACATATTTAATGCAATCCCAATCAAAGTACCAGACACATTCTTCACAGATCTAGAAAAGACAATCATAAAATTTGCCTGGAATCATAAAAGACCCTGTATTGCCAAAGCAATCCTGCACAAGAAGAGTGGAGTGGGAGGCATCTCACTCTCAGACCCCAAAATATGGTGGTAATCAAAACAGCATGGTACTGGTACAGAAACATACAGGTGGACCAATGGAACAGAATAGAGTCCCCAGAAATAAATTCCCAAACATATAACCTCTTCTCCACTGCTATCATCTTCTTCATCTTCTGACATTTCCTCATCTTCACTGTCTTCTTCTACCTCCTTTGGAGGAGGAGCCATTTTTGGGGGGTCACCTTGATTTTTACCAGCCTTAGCGAGCTTCACCGTGATGGCGGCTTACAATGGCAGAGTGTGTGGTAGGCAGGTGGGTGGCACTGATGAATCTTGAGGAACTCCAGCAATGTTGATGGTGGCTATGAGCACTGAAGATCCAAACCACTCTCTAAAGATGACATTTGAATAGCTAAAAGACATATGAAAAAATGCTCAACATCCCTCATTGTAAGGGAAATGCAGATCAAAACAACAATGAGATACCATCTAACCCCCCTCAGAATGACTAAGACTAAAAAAAAAAGATGTATGTGCTGGCAGGAGTGTGGTGAAAGGGGAACAAGGGGAACACTCTTACACTGCTGGTGGGAATGTAAACTGGTCCAGCCACTGTGGAGAACAATTTGAAGATTTCTCAAAAATCTACAAATAGAACTACCATATGATCCAGCATCCCCACTCCTTGGTATCTACTCAAAGGACAGAAGAATTCTTAATTGGAAAAGTGCTTGTACACCAATGTTTATTGCGGCATTATTCACAATTGCTAAGACATGGAACCAACCCAAATGCCCATGAACAGATGAATGGATTGAAAAACTGGCACATATACTCTGTGGAATACTGTTCAGCCATAAAAAACAAGACCCTGGCTTTTGTCAGAAAGTGGATGAATATGGAAGATTTGCTGCTGAGTGAAGCAAGCCAGGCTATGGAGAGTCATTGTATATCTACACTTAATATATAGCAAGTATCTGCACTCTATGACTGAAACCGACTGGCTAAAGGATATAGAAACACAGTAAATGGTTGTGAATATCACATATAGTGTTTGTGAAAGAGTAGAGTCTGAGGAAGGACATTTAGAAGAAAAATAGAGAGGCAAAGCATTGATGTGACAAAGAAATGTGGTATTATCTCTTGAAGATAATTTTATAGTATTACCAACTGAACTAGGGAGAAATGTACACATGTGGGAATATTCACTTTGTAAGCTAAATAACATGATTGGATGTATAAAAGAACAAGAAATAAAATATAAATTTAAAAAATTTTTAACAACAACAACAAAAGAGTGTATTTGGCCTAACTTAGACTGCTTGCCTATACCTTGCTTTTAAAAATAGAAGTGATTGATGCTGGAAAATATTCCAGAATAGTGTAATGGAAGATAACTGATAGATAGTTTAACTTAGCAGTGGAAAGTCATCATCAACTTTCTGGAGAAAGGTTTCAGAAGAGAGGTGCAAATGGAAATCAGACTGTGGAGAAATTATGAGAAATTTGAAGTTTAATAGAAAGTAAAAGATAAGAGAGAGAGAGAACATGATAGCAACACATGGTTAGGGAAGATGGTAGATTTTTGCCATACAGCATGTTCCCTCACCCTGCTGGAGAGAGATAGGAGGAGAGGGAAAGTGAGAAATCACCCTCCCCACCACCAGGGGGATAGCCACACTGCAGTCTCATCTTCTGGATTCTTCCCTTGGGATTTTGGGCATATACACACACGTGTCCAGTGTGTTTTTCAAGCTGCTGGGTCTGGCTCTCGAACTATAGAGTTTGCCATGTAGGAATCCAGGGCCTTAACCATTATGCTATCTACTGGCCCTGCGAAGATTTTTAAAAGGGGGAAAAGACTTGTTATAGACCAAGAGGAATGTGCCAAGACAGTGAGAGATACACAGAAGTTATGATTGTGTAAATGAGATCCCTGAAGATGTGGGCAAAAGTTGAAATATAGGACATTAGTAGAGGGACTAACCATGGGGAAGAGAAGATATCTTAACCTGAGATTGAAGGAAAGGGAAGAATTTGTGATATGAATAAGAAATTTCAGTTGAAGAGGGAGAATGTGGGGGAAACTCATGTCTAATATTCAGTCCTCTTAGTGAGATGTGAGGCCAGAAGATCAATTTTGTGGACACAAATGACCATACTAGAAGGATGGGTGTGGATCTGCTCTTACTTAGTAGCCAGACAAATTTTATCTTGTAAACATATTTTTTTCTTATTTTTTAGGGATATTTCTTTTCTCTATGATATTAAACATGTAAAAGGGGAGACTAGGGAGAATACAATTTGTCCCCCATATTTGGACCGTTCCTTACAGTTACATGATGGTGTCATTGTGCCTCATAAGGTAAATAATGTATCTAGCAAATAATTTTCTCTTTCTCTTATGTTTAAAATTAATTTTCTCAAAATATTAAATGATATCATATTATCACAACAACCTATCTTGCTTGTCAGTCTTCATAGTCCTTTCTAATTATTTCTAAAAATGGCCACTGAATGGGGAAAGAAAAGATATCTTATTTGGAACCATTTCTCAAAGTTATCTGTTCTAATCTAGAAAATACCATGTAAGAGAATAGATTTTTCCCCTCCATAAATGACTTGTAGTATTCGGGATCTTGGGCACGCATGCATGCACACGCGCCCGGCTAGAGTTTTAAGTCACCAGGTCTGGGACGCGAACCGCGGTAGACTACTTGGGAGTCCAGCGACATAGCCATTACACCAACTGCTGGTCCCCAAGTTGTAGTATTCTTATTTTGATATCTGCTAAGTTGAATTTTAAATTTTCTACTAAATTGAAAAGAAAAAGTCAATGAGTTTATAAATATATGGGACACATGTAACTAATACGAGAACCAAAGTTGTTCTCTGATTTATGGTTATTTTTAAAATGTCTGCACTGCTTGAAGTTTTTTGTTTTTTTTTTTTGAGAGATTTTCGCTATAGGGCATGTGCGCTCGCCAGACAGAGACAGAGACAGAAAGCGAGAAATCACCTCCCAGGGGGGATGGTCACACCGCAATCCCTTCTCCTCCGTTCTCCTCTCGGGATCTTGGGCACACACGCACACGCGCCCGGCGTGAGTTTTAAGCCACCGGGTCCGGGACGTGAACCACGGTTGACTACGTGGGAGTCCAGCGACATAGCCATTATGCTAACTGCTGTTTCCCTGCACTGCTTGAAGTTTTTATCTCTTGCTGTGACCTACATTACTAGCATTCTTATTTCTCTAATCAAAATCTCTTAACTTAGAAAATAGTATCCCTTTGGAATAGGAGTTAGGATTTGTGCAACTCAGTTTTTAAAAATCTATTAATATGTTCATTCTCTT